CTCCACCGCGACAAGATACTACCCATTCTTCTAGGTAAAATGAAAGACCAACGAGATGGAAGACCACTTGAGGCCGGGGGGGGGGGGGATTTTATTCCAGAGGGCAGGTGCCATGATAGAAAACACACACTTCCTAGGTCCCAATAGATGGCAGCGTTTAATCAACAGAACCCAGAGTACTCCAACTCTGCCAGCAGAAATCATGGGAGATAGGTAAGCCATCAAATAACCTGGCCTTATGCCATGTAGGGCTTTATAGGTGATGACCAGCACCTTGAATTACACCCAGAAGCATACTGGCAACCAATGCAACTCGTGAAGCACAGGTGTCAAATGGGCATGCCAAGGCATGCTTATCACCTTCCACATCATTACATTCTGGACCAGCTGAAGCTTCTGAGTGATTTTCAAGGACAGCCCCGCGTACAGCATATTTCAATAGTTTAGCTGTGAGGTGACTAGGGCATGAATGATTGTCTGAAGGGACTCCCAGTCCAGAAAGGGGCCCAGCTGACATAATGGAGCTGTACAAAGGACTCCTTGGCCACAGCTGCCACCTGCTTTCAAGCAGGAGCTCTGAGACCCAAAGGACCCCCCCAGATTGTGCATCACTCTTGAATGGGAAATGCCATCCTGTCCAAGAATATAGATGGAAATTCCCCAGCTTCGAGGGACCCTAATATTCACAACCACTCAGACTTGGTAGGATTGATTTGGAGTTGATTCCTCTCCATCCAGGCCTGCACAAGCACTGGGATAGGACATCAACTGGCCAGTCTGGGGTCGAGAAATATAATTCAGTATAATCAACATATTGATGATCTTGAGCACCAAACTCTCACCCTGCAGCTTGATTTAAATGTTAAAGAAGAGGGGAGAGAACACTGAACCCTGTGGTACCCCACATAAGAAAGGCCTACAGGATGACCTCTGCCCCCTGCCATCATCTGGAACCACCCACAAAGAAAGAGAGCCACTATAAAATGGTGGCCCCAGTTCCCAGCTTCTGTAGCTGGTCCAGAAGGATACTGTGTTAGATGGTATGAAAGATGGCTGATGCATCACTTCTATCCTAATTTCACCACAGGCCATCAACAAGCGCAACTAAAGCTGTCTCAGTACTGAATCCTAGCCTGAAACCTGACTAATACAGATCTAGGTAATCCGCTTCTTCCAGGGTCCTCTATATGCAGGCTGACCACCCAGCAGCAAATTGAAGTCCCCAAGTACTAATAATGAGGATTTTATGACCAGCCCTATGACAAAATACAGCAGCTCAGGCAGGGATGATGCTGGGCAGGATGGGGCAGTACATCAACAACAAATGCAACAGTTTTCTAGAGCCAAACTTCAACCAGAATGCCTCATACCTGGTTACATGTGGAAGAGAGCCTCTGAGATTCATGGATGATAACCCTGGGATTCAGTTGATGCCAAGCCTAAAACTCAGATTAACACAGCTCCGAGAGGGGTACACCCCCTTCTGAGCTCGGTCATGTCTCAGTGATGCATAGCAGGTTGGAATCCTCATCCATGATAAAGTCATGAATGAGGGCAATCTTATTACAAGCTGACCTGGCATTTAAAAGCAGCTGAAACCCAGGGCCACCAAAGACCTGACAGCTAGGTATAGAGGATGGAAACCAAGGACCAGACAATGGCATCACTTTCAGTTAGCACATCAAATGTCCCTGGATTGGAAGAAAATTAGCATGATTTAAAATTGAAGAAAGAAACATCAATAAACTACGGTATGCCAATGACACTACTCTGATAGCTGAAAATGCAAATGATCTGTAAGATCTCGCAATGAAAATCAAGGAGCACAGTGAAAAAAATAGGACTAAGATTAAATATGAAGAAGACGAAAATAATAACTACAGGAAAAACAACCAGCCTTAGAATTGATAGTGAAGAAGTGGTGGACAGCTTCTTCCTTTTAGGATTGATGATCAACAGTAAAATAACAACTCAAGAAATGCAGACTAGCACATGGTAAAGTAGGAATAAAGGCCTTGGGAAAAATATTCAGATGCCATGATGCGTCTATACCTACAAAGATCAGAACACGCAGGCAATGAGTTTCACAGTGACCTTCTATGAAAGCAAAAGTTGGACTGTAAAGAACCAGGACAGAAAGAATATTCATGTTGTTGAACTTTGGTGTTGGCAATGGGTACGCTGTTGGAAGATCTGAAAGACTAAGTTGGGGATAGATAGTCATGGAGAAAATCTGGTCACTAAGGGTTGACACTGACTTGATGGCACATAATAAATCACATCATTGATCAAGATTTGCATATTAGCTTACACTAAAGTTATCAAATAATCAGCACAGAGAAAAATGTGAAGTGGACTTTTTGAGATGCTATTTATCTAATAATACCTGATAATGAGGGTAAATCATTTGTGTGATAAATTCTAAGAGATTTGCTGCAGATTTCCACATTTAAAAGAAACCTGAGCCTTGCTATACATGTTAATTATGGCTGCACATCTATATTCAGCCCAACCATCTTCTCATAGGATTCTTGCTGACAAATTAATGGGCCCTTTGAATGTATCGGGTCTTTCCATGAGTTGCAATTCTACCACTTGAAATCTAGCAAGAAAAATGGTGGTTTGCCAGTCACTTATCAGCTCCACTAGTTTTGCTTCCCCATCTTTGCAGCCCCATTTAAACCTGTTTAGTCTCATAAATCATAAAGGTTTCAAAGATGTATTGTAAATATGCTTTCTTGTTGAAAAATGTTCAAAATTATGCGTTATAAGAGTTTAGACATTTCTAGATCACTGATCAGGTTGTTGGACCTGCTTCATTAGATACTTTGTACTTGTCTTCATTTATAACATTATTGGTCTCTTTTGGATAATAAAAAATCCAAGGTTATGTAGAATAAACAACAGTGCTAAAACAACAAAACTTTATTGGGTAGTGGGAAATCAGTATCCAGACAACATCCCGGTTGCACTGAATTAAAGTTAATTTCTAAAACGCTAAGCATGTAATGCTTTAAATTGCTGGCCAAAGGTCAGTCATACATAGGGAAATTTCCCAGAGAGGTTGAAGAAAGGGGATTTTTAAAAAGGCAATATTATGTCATTTCCTTTTTTCTAACAACAGTCATATTACAGCATGCATATGCCTGTAACAATGATAGTTGGATACAGTAAAACTTTGATTTGCTTTTAGTATCCTGGGAAGCTGATTGTCTTCAGTTGGAG